AACATTTTTCTCAGTAAATATATTTCCAATGGGGCTATTGACAGGAAATTTACACCAGATGTCGGTAACAGCCCAAATAATCTACAACTACAAAGACATCAAAACAAATAAGTCCATAAATTATGTGATGTGTAATAAAGTGAAATGACACAGGGAATGAGTATTGAACAGACTTACTGAAATGTATTTAATACTTAGTAGAAAAGCCTTTGTTGGTAATGGCATCTTCAAGACGCCTCCTGTATGGAGAAACTAGTGTCATGCGTTGCTCAGGTGTGATTTTGGCCCATTCTTGCACACAAACTGTCTTCCAATCTTGAAGGTTCCGTGGGCCTCTCCTATATGAACGCTGATCTTCAGTTCTTTTCATAGATTTTCAATTGGATTCAAGTCTTGTGATTGACTGGGCCATTCTAGCAGCTTTATTTTCTTTCTCTGAAACCAAGTGAGGGTTTCCTTGGCTGTGTGTTTGGGATCATTGTCTTGCTGAAATGTCCACCCTCGTTTCATCCTCAGCGCCCCGGCAAATGGCAGCAGATTCTTATCAAGAATGTCTCGGTAAATTTCTCCATTCATCCTTCCTTCAATCATATGAAGTCTGCCAGTGCCGAATGCTGAAAAGCAGCCCCACACCATGATGTTCCCACCCCCAGAACTTCACTGTTGGTGTGGTGTTTTTGGGCCGATGCACAGTGCCTTTTCTCCCCCAAACATGGTGTGTTCTATGAGAGTTCAATTTTGGTCTGATCTGACCAGACTTTATCTATCAGTATTTCATTGGCTTGTCCAAAAGTTGTGCAGCAAACCTTAAACAAGATTCAACATGCTTTTTCTTCAGCAGTGAAGTCTTGGGCAAGAAGCATGCATAGAGGCCATGGCGGGTTGAGTGCATTACCTTTTTATAGGCCATCAATTATGACTAAACCAGCTGATATTTCTTTGCACTGAAAGGGGGCAGGATTGCTTTCTAAATATTGCCAGATTTCAGCTGGTTTCTTTCCATGCCTTTTTGCTCCTGCTTTTTTCTGTATTTCTGGATTACTTTGGTCCTTGCCGACGTCTGGTGTAAGTTTCATGTCAATAGCCCCATAAGAAATATATTTACTGAGAAAAATGTTTACGCGTTCAATGCTTATTTTCCCCGCTGTACGTGACGTTTAACTACCCCCCGTGTGGGATTCAACATTGTTCTTAGCGTCTATGTGTAACTGCACTAGTTTTCCACACGTGTCAGCTAAACCGTCTTGGATTTTGAAACTGAAACTTAACACGCGCGTGTTTGTGCTGCTGTTGCTTTATTGTCTGGTTGTAACAGCTGATCTCGGTATAATGTTACGGTTTCCGCTTTTGGGTTTTGTGCTGATTAAAATATGACCCCCTCCCACCTTTGTCTATCGTGATATTACCCACGACTTTATGGGATTTCCATTAATAATAGCATTACAAAAAATAAAATGGAATATGTGTTATAAGTTTCCTAATCCTTCTCATTTCCCTCCCATGCCCTCTTTCAAAGCGGAATGAATAGTATTTAAAAGCGGCCCCGCCGCTTGTCATTAGATGCTCTTACACTCGGCGGTTTTTCTTTAGAAAAATGATGCGTTCGCGTATCAATCCGCATAATCCGGGATAAAGGCTGAAAATAAGTATGATTCCTCTGACACCTGTAAATTAAGCGGTTCTGCCTCTCCTGCACACGACGGCTTCAGCCTATGGCTGGAGGTTGAGAATATTAATCCCCGGAGGGACGGACGCGTCACTTTGCAAACCCTTTATATGTAAGGGTTTAAGATACACTGGGAGGTGAACGTCAGACTCAGACATCCCAGTTGCTTTTCTAATAGTAGAATAAAGGCAGGAGGCATTAAATGTGATGTTTAGTTATTTATCATTTTTGTGATTAACTCCATGAAAAACATCTCTTATTTATTTTGTGGATCAATAAACTGAGACCAAGATTTATGAAAAAATGTGTAATTTCTGCTGTCAGCCAGGAAACAAATACTGTCAGTGTTTGATACGAGAAGGAACATGTCAGAACAGTAACTACAGCTAATTAAAGTTTAATTAAGGCTATGCAAAGCCTACATCTTAAATGTAATTAAAATTTGCTGAAACATCCAATTTGCTGCCGTAACACGGACCAGTCATTGTTTAGGCTTATTTTCTATATTCATTTCAAAACAGGAACCCACAAATTACTCCAAATTGCTATTGACTGACTTACATAAAGAAAGCGCTACATCAATCTAAATTCTACCAGTTAATTAATATCCGTAGCATGTGTAGCATACATACCAGTTTTCTCCTGCTCTTTCATAAATTGTGTATATATTATCTATGATTCTGTTTGCAATCATTTTGCTGGGTTTTTGCCCTTTTCAAGAGCATTCAAAGCTGTGTCTGACCCTGCTGTGAACAATGACAGTCTGGGCTCCGGATGCACAAGAGGAAAGTTTCTTTGTTGTGTCTATTTTTAGATGCTGCTTCCTCAGACATGACCAGTCGATTCCCTGTCCACTTCATAAAGCCTGACCTGTTGGCCTACAAATGAATCTTGTCTTCACTACAATGCGCACCTTGCCTTCTCGATGTTGCCGACTGTGAAGGGGGGAAATTTTCAAGGGCCGCCCGGTGTCCATTCAAGGGCAAGTCTCTGTCAACTCGGAGGAGTGCAGTTGCTAAGAAGTTGCTAGGCAGGATGACCTTGTAACCTGGCAACAGAAGGGTCTGATAAAGGCTTCAGATCTGTGGCAGCATTCTGGAGCTGCTGGATCTGCAAGTTCCTAAAAGGGGAATATGATTGTCTGAAGGAAAACTGAAAATAAAGTGTTTCTTTATAATATAACCATCTAAAATCGCTCCAAATTATAAACAGAAGCTGGATAAACAATAATATTTATTGACTAGAGTGCCTGTGCTATGTGATTACAAATTTACATTTCCATTATTTTTATTTGAATTTGAAATTGTTAGCTAAGAGAATGCTACAAAAGGGAGGTCCTTGAACAGTGCACATGAAAAGATAATAATGAATTGATTCTGAGTACCCCATTCCAAGGATAATGAATCCACCCCTTTGCCCCTTTGCTTCATGTACCAGCAGCTCCAGGTAAGTTTTGGGGCTTTGTATGATATATACATTGCCGATTGTGTAAAATTAGTGAGTTGGGAAAGATGTAAGGACACAAAGTTGCAAAGGAAGAAGCTATCTGAGAGGAAGTGTGGCTTGCTCGCAAAATTATATTGAAGCCATGTTTTTGAAACTGTAGAGAATTAGTTCATGATAGGTGATTAAGGTTATGCTATATCCTATAGGGTGAGAATTGTGAAAATGGGACAGTTAAACTTTGAAGTTAATATATGTGTTTAGTAATACTTTATTGACTCATCTACAGTATATTGTGTAAAAGGGGCATTCATGTATTTAGAATGGCATCAAATTGGCATTCAAGACATTGAGATGATTTTTCCCGAAATCAAAATTTCCGAATGTGCCCCATTTTAACAATACTCACCCTACAGTATTTATATAAGGCTACAGTTTAGCCTATATCCTATATTTACCTTGCATCAGAAGCATGTTTATGACAATAATCACAACAAAGGATAAGGAAGTGAAACGATGACCTTGAAAAATACTTCTGATTCTGGCTAGACAGGAAATTAAAAGAGAAGTGAAACTGTACACAAGTATACTAAGGGGCAGGCCCTAGACAGAGATAACACTGGAGCTCCGTCACTGCCTGCTCTGTACATCTCTCCAGTGGATTGCAGTGAAGAACTCAAGCCTCGACCTGTTCTCGTAAGTGTCTTATTATTGTCTCAGGACAGTACAGGACAGGACTGGCATTGTTCTGCTTAGATGCCAGGGGAAAACTTCACAGGGAGAGAGATGCTGATGTAGTGACAGATAATCTCCCTCGGTGCAGTTAAGAAAAGACCTGGGTAATCACATTCAAAAAACAAAAGGCCTGCTATGTAATTACTTGGAAAAGCACAAACTACGGTCTCAAACTCAAAGGAAGTTTCATTGAGCTCGAAGTAGCTCAGTGATGGTGTGATTCTGGTAAGACAATGGTACTTTTCCATCACCTTTAAGAGATTATATTAACTGTGGAAAATGCTTGAATATGGCAATAAATATGTTCCAGTTACTGTATTAGATTTTTAATTGTCCTATAGGTCTACTAAATTAATATATTGCGATAGAACTATAGCCCTATGTAATACACACTAACCTGAAGCAGACAGTACAAAGGAATAATTTAACATATTAGCTGATATATCTGGTTTATGAGTGTATAATTTCCAGGAAACGATTCCCCCAATATTTACCTTTTAACAAATGCTACTCACAGTGATACCTCCAATGTAGTTAAAACCTTCCCACCGTTTTCCTTATGAGTGTGAAAACCTGACTGTTAGCATTTTCAAGCCAGGTGGGGCTGAATTCTATGATTTGAAGGGATGATTAAAAATGATTAAACGTTATTTATCGCTTAAAATTGTTCGGATGACAAAGACAAGACCAGCAGTCTTTGGCTTGACGTAAAAGGAAGGGGGGGGGATCGCCGTTTACCCTGCAAATGCACAAATAATACCGTGCCTGTCTTTATAAATAGGCCTAAGTGCTAAAATGTAACGTATTTGAAATAATCATGTGTTATTTATATGTAAACCTAAAACTTTAATACCTATAATAATACAAATAACCCGCATACAATTCATTTCTAAAGTTGTTTTATTTTGCCAACACCTGGACATGAAACAAAAGCAACGGATTAAAGAAAATAAAAAACAAGGTTTTGATTTTGGCTAAAAGTTAAAATAACAGTGCGGTAGCTAAACGTCATATGTATAAGTTTTCACATCTGTATGATTCACCACAGAAATTATAGCGAGGGAGAACCGTTATAATTCACCAAGCGAGTGCCAGCGCTTTAAAGGAATGACCGTTTAGTGCGCACGCTCAGCACCGCGAGCCCTCCCGTGTCCCAAAATACACTGCGGCGGCCGCCGTCCGCCATATTGCGATAATGTTGAGAAAGCGCAGATTGGTTACGGGGTACACCGAAAACCGTATGCTACACTAAATCAACCAACTTGTTCAATGCACTCCGCAGGCGGTTAAGGAGCTCCGCGCAGCGCCCTGAAGCCGTCCGCCATGGCCGCCAACGCCCGGGGTACGAGGTCGCCTCTCCGCAGTACAGATTTAACCGCAACGGACGGTCTGAAGGCTTTAAACAAAACGAGGCCTGAGTGAGCAACCCCGTAGCCGGACTGTGTGGCCCGTGCCGTCCGTTCGGTGGGGGGTCACTGAAATGTACCCGTTGAGGTATTTTTACGTGGCTAAAAGACCCTTAAACGTCTCCAGGGTCAAGGAGGTTGTCCAGAAAGAACGAAAAATGAAAATGTCAGAGGGTCGCCATCGCGTCCGACTTTCTGCTGTGGTTAACTAGCAGTGCGTGTAGCCGCTTATTTACACCAAGGCCCTCTTTCGATTACAGTAAACAGCGTTGCACGGTTATCTGACGAGAATCGAGTAATAACCCCGAATTATCTCACAAATTTAGTATTGTTATTGTAACTAGGTGTTGGTATGGTAGTAATCCGGGGGCTGAATAAAACAGGCGGTGGTTTTCGTCTCAGTACCCGTACGTACAGCTGCAGATCGCCTCCTTATATATGCTGGAGATGGTCTGGCTTGTAAATAAAGTGCCGTGGACATGCAGCACCGGGCATTGTCTCGGATGGTCACCTTTGTTGATGCAACATGCTGTGGTGCCTGGCCGGCTCCTTGTCCCGTGTATTATAAGCTGGTCTGAAAGGCCGTGCATTGTTTCCCGAATTTGGCTGAAATGTGCCATTGTGATCGCGTGGCCTCCCTTTCCCCCCTCAGATGACGACTTCGACGAGTACGACAAGCCAGGAGCTGAGAGATCGCGTAGGAGAAGGGGAGATGAAGATTTTGACAGGTAATCACCGCCTTGTTTTCGTTTCTAAGGTGGCACCATGCGGACGACGGTAGTCTGTGGGACCTTGGACTGCACATGAATGTCTTTTTGTCATTCAGATGATAAAGCATCTGACTTGAATTTTCAGTATCTAGTCAAATCACAAACTCATGCAACACCTAGCCTAACCATTTCTATACAATAAACTTAATTTAAGTCTCCCTCTAAATTATTTGTCATTTTTTGGCACTGATTCTTGTAGCGAATGCTCTGTTGTCTTTGTGCCAGTAGTTATGCCAATATATTCATAAACATGAATCGATCTGAAGAAGTTTGTGTGTTTTCTCCCTCCCGCCCAAAAGTGACCTGGAAGGGGAATTGCTTGAGGAGGACTGGCTGACGTCTCGGAAGGTAAGCTTATTGGCCACAGGCAAGGAAGGGGTGGATGTGTCATGAAAGAACTTAAAACACCTGCCATCTGGAGGTGTAGCCAGTACATGTCATTAAACTTTAAACGTGCGTTCTGTTTATTTGTCCTGTTTTGAGACTGGTCTAAAAGATGTTTTAAGTGCAACTGTACAGGGGCTGAAAAGCGACAGAATCGCTGTCAAGCTTAGTAACACATTCCCTGTCCCACTAGTGCATTTTCTTTCCGAATGCCTGGTGGTGTGCGTCTCCCGTGTCTTTCTGTTTGTGATGAAATGCAGATGGACCAGGTGACGCTTCAGCCCTTCCCAAAAAATGATGATGATCAAGGGGACACTGTAACGGGCGTGAGCTGGATTTCGGATATAATAAGAATCCTGCTAGGCTAGAGTCATTTTTGGCAGGAGTGGCTTCACTCTGCCCTGATATTGGGTTTGGAGATGATCCTATCAATCGGCAGCTGATTTTAAATCCGCCAGCATTTAGTCTAACCTGATCGGCAACTTTTAATTTGACTGATCTCAAATGTCAACTTTGCTGATAACGTAATAGCTGTATGTTGACGATTATGTGCATGTAGTTTCAAACACGGAAGTGGCACTGTCTCATCTCCGGTCTGGCAGTTTTGCCAGATATTTATTAAAGATGAAGAATTTGCAATTTGCATCGCATGTTGAAGTTGGTCGTGGAGCATCATCTGCTAAAGAATTCCATACTAGGAACTTCATTTGACATTTGTGCCTTCACTGAGAGGAGTACTAGAAATATGAGAGCCCAAGTGCCTTTGGACGCTTTTCCACTGCACTAGGTACCATTCTTTTGGTACTGTGAAAAAGTGTGGTACTTCAGGGTGTTTGGTTTCCCATGAACATATAAACTGGTACAGCCACTGAATGACATCACAATGCGAGGCAGAGTATTTCTTACCGAATTTGAAAAATGGTTGCTGTATATTATAGGGCTGGGCGATGTGTGACGTTATGCATGTGCAATTCTTAATCTTAAGGATCACGCTAACTAGATTGAGGCTTTTCATGACTTCATACTATCCAAACACAATAATGTGGGAGTTTAGGTTTCACTTTAAACATTTTTTACTTTTTCATAGGAAACGAGACTTTGTTAGCATTGCAATTTTAATGATTGTTCCTTTTGATGGTTATCTTGTATATGTTTAAAAAAATCAGTTAAATCAGTTAAAATTTACTCTCGTTGCTTTTGCATGAACGCTGCATGCTCTTTCCGAGCCAATCATAATCATTTTCATACTTACTGTTTAAATCTCTCCTAGATGGGTCTATGAGCAATTTATTATATACTCCTTTTTTTTGCTTTATAAATATCCCAATATTTGTTACAACAAATCACAGTGTGATATTAGAATTTTGTCCAATATCGTGTAGTTCTAGTATCATATGTAATCTGTTTCTTGTCATGCCATCCAGACCTCCGCCTGGTTCTTTTCAGCAGATTGCAGTTAAAGTTTGAGTCTCTTCTTTTGTCCACACATACATTATATTAGTATTACATATATCACTTTATTTTTCTTCATTATCTTCTGTGTATGTTCTGCGCAAGTAATTTCAAGGCTGGGGTTGTATTTTGTTTCGGAGGCAGGCTATTTATATAACAAGTCAACAGTGGACACGTTTGCAAATCTCACCTCAAGGTGCAGAAGTACCAAAGAAGTATTCCAGCTGGTTTGGTACTTTTGGTACTGGTATTTGACTGGAATTGAACGAAAAAGGGAAAGTACCATACCTGGTGCAGAGGAAAAGCGCCTTTATGAGTGTGGAGAATGTGTGGTTGTTCAGTACAGCTGCACAAATTTTGGTTGAAAAGAGTAATAGACTTTCTTCAGTAAATGCAGAGATTTTTATGTTTCTTTTAAAGAAATATACCTTAGTTTCTTGGAAGAACATAGGCCTGTCACCAAGAACCAAGTGCTGGATCGGCCCCAAAAACCCTGATCAGAGCATCTCTAATCAGAATGTCAGCAGTTCACATCCTGTTGCCCAGGGACTGTTTGACCCTGCTTTCTCGTTGTATAAAAGCATTCACAAAATAACAGTGAATGCAAATGTATCTTCCACTTTCCTGCTGCACATTTCTTCTGTGTTTCATAAGTAGGGGCTGGGAGATAACAACATGTTTATCCAGCATTAAGTTAATGTGTTTTAGAAGACAGTATGCCATTTGTGTTCCACATAGCGATTCCTTGGCTATTTAAAGTGATGACGATGACTGTAGGACGGGCCTCAAAAGTGATAAATACTGCACGTCTTTTTCATGATTTTAAGCCCTATATTTACATTTATCAGACTCTCTCGTTGAATTGCGTTATGTCTGAGAAATCAGGGTCAGAGATTACCTGGAGCAGTTGCCGGTTAAGGGCCTTGTTCAGGGGCCCGATGGTGATGTCACTCTATCGACTCTTGGATTTGAACCGGCAGCCTTTCTTGCTCCCTCCCATCTTTTTGCCCTAAACGTGAAGACCCTGGGGGTCCTTAGCACTAGTTTGAGAAACACTACTCTAGAACACACTGAAGTCGTTTGCATCGGGCACCCATCATCAGGAAATCGAACCACTGCAAATAAACACATGATCAAAGCCTCGAAGCTCATACTTTACAAGAGGTAGAGCTAGTGCTGGGTGGTATACGGGTTTTAATTTCCGGTATGCTATGAATCTTTCATATACCACTATACCGTTACATAGGTTATGCAACAGCTGTAATGCTAGGCAGCAAATTATATAGCATTGCTTGCTGCTAGAAGCACTGGATTTTTTTGTAGAGTGGGGACCCCTGTTAACTGCGTACCCATCTTACTAACTGTTACAACTTATAACACAAGAGCTCTTCATATATAACTGTTCAGCATTATAGGGTTTAGCTACTGTTTGTCTGTGTGTGAAAATTTTGGTTATGTGTTATATAATTTGGTCTGTAATTAAATGTGTATCCCTAAAGCAGAATCTCTGTCGATTTATCACAGAAATAGTTAACATTTGCTCGACTGGCATGATTTTATCAAGCTAAATATACTGTTATAATCAATAAAACATCTTGATGGAATCAATGAAACATGTTGCTATTAGAGCTGGGCGATATGACCTAAAAATAAAATCTGATTTTTTTCCACAATAAATCCGATTTTTGATTTTAATCGATTTTCCCCTCCCCTACTAAAAATCAAACTACAGATGACAAATAAATGGTTCAACACAAGTTTTAACTTTTTTTTTTTTTACTTTATAGTTAAAGTGCAATCTGACAAGCCAAAAAAGATGCTTATGAGATGGCAGACCACGCCATTGTAAACACTTTTAGAAACTTGTACAAACTTTTAGCATGTTAATGAATCCCAGGTTTTCCACACTATATATGGGCACCATGTCTTTTGCAATATACATCGCGACAGCGTTTATCGCTTTCCACCGTGCCCCATTCTTATCATATGGCACACAGTTCGAAAACGTGTCGGGGACGGTTGCTTGCTTAACTTTGGATGTTGTGCTGGTGCTGCGGGTATTTTCATTTCGCTGGGAGCTGCACTTCTCCCACTCCGCCGCGTGCCTCTGCTTTAGATGCTGGAATAAATTTGTCGTGCTCCTTCCTTTGGTTGCAACAGTTTTTAAACAGACTTTGCAACTTGGACTTGTTTGGTCTGTGTGCGACGGCGCAAAACTGAACCATTGCCATGTTGTTTGTGAATCCGCTACAGTGTTTGGGTGCATCGCGCTAATTTATCGAAAAGAACGGTGCGTCGCATCAGTTCCGCTTTTGGCGCTCTCGTGTAAAATAAGTAATAACATTGATTTTCATAAAAACACATCGTCCTGAACTGTAAATTCGAATTAATCGATAAAATCGATTTATCGCCCACCTCTAGTTGCTATCTAGCTAAATACACATTAATCTAATAAAGCATGTCAGTGAAACAATTCTTATCCTACTAAGTACACGTTTATAATCAATGAAACATGTTGCTGTCAAGTTGAATATATATGAATAATCTAATAAAACATTTTGGTTATACCATCAAGCTAAATATAAACGACTTTTTACTCTATAGGTAAAGTGCAATAGGCCAAATTAATAAAACAGATCTTTTTAAAAACCTCTGTAAACATTTTATCTATGTAAAGGCTTGCTGCTGGAAGGGTGAACTTGAGGAAAAAATACCAAGATATACTGTGAAACTGCCAGAATATTTAAAAATACTGTTAAGGTGTGCATGTCCGTTCATGTTTGAGGGAGGGGATGGTTTGGCCATCACGTTAAGTAATTCTTTACACATTTTGCGCCTTGCTTTTCTCCCTTACTTGTATTTGGTGAGCTCCACACCTTGTGACCTTCAGCATGGGCTGAGAAGTTGTTTTCAATATGGCACTATCAAATCTGTTAGGTCGTCTGTTAGTGTCTTCTGGAAAATCACTGCATCGTATTCTTGGCTTTGAGGCTAAGATCACCTTCTTTGTGGAGGGCCCCAGACTGGTTGAAATGCTGAAATGAACTTACACATTTTTCATAGATCCACAATTATTTTTTTTTGTTTAATTTTGAATTAAATTTTACTTTAAATTTACTACACTCCGGAATAGGGCTGTGCGATATGGCATAAAATTAATATTGCGGTATAATTTGAACCATACACGGTATATATTGCGGTATATAATTTGATCTGTAAATTTCAACATAACTGTTTTTGAAAGGGTAACATATGTCCATAGCAAAGGCATTGCAGCAGGAAGTTGTATAATAAACTGTTAACACATTTCAAAGTAGTCGTGAACGTAGAATATTTATTGTACAAATCTGCAATTATAGAAAAAATATGAAAACATTTCAGGTAACTTCCCTGGTTTTTTCTTATATTAAAAACACTGGTTGGTTTTGTAAACTGTAGGTAAGCAGAAAACAAGACAGAACCAAAAGCTACAAAACTAATACAATTAGACTAGTTTCATAACTTCATCTATATTAGTATGACCATCTCTCCCATAAAGGTCCTGCAGGCTGAGTCCTGCACGGGTTCAGGTACCTGATGGGTGACCCGCAAATTTTGATGAAACGGGTGAAAAATATTCTACTTTGTCGGATATGGGTTTGGGTCGGATGCAGGAGGTCGCGGGCCTAAATTGCGGTTTTCAAAACATCATGTGGCAACAAAAAATACCCTAGGACTATATTTTAGTGACACACAAAAAATCCCTGCATTCAAGATGGTAAAACGTAAAATCCATATCAGTTTATGCCTGCAAGCGCATTCCCGGAAATCTCTCCCACTTTCATTTTCAAAAAACGCTTTAGATCTCCTGCAGTTGTTTGAAATGGATGCTGAGGAGTTGAAAAGAAAACTAGCAAGTGTACAGTTTAAAGTTGTGGCCAATACCTCCACTAAAATCAAGTGTGGGAGAATTTCAGAGTTATCTCAGATAACGAAAACAACTCTTTTGACGTCTTGTCTTGGTGGAGAGAGCATGAGTGTTTGTTTCCCAATATTGCTCATATTGCGAGATCTACTCCTCACTATCCCGGCATCCAGTGCCGCAAGTGAGCGAGATTTCTCATGCGCCGGAAATGTCATCCAGGAATGATGGAGTCCACGATATCCTTTTTTACACAGTAATATAAAGCACCGCACCAAACACTAGTCTTCGCCTTCGCGTAGGAATTCCAATCGGGTAATCAAAGGAAAATGGACAGTGCATGTAGGTAGCCTATAAAACCCAATACTGTGCAGGGTAGCCTAATGTACATTTTATATCATTTTAGTTTTATTAGCACATTTAATTGTAAGCTGGTAAGGCTATGTGTGGGCATGACAATATCAAACGTTATTTGAGTTTGGAGGTAAGCTACTACCATTTGTTTTGCTTATTATTAGGTTGTTATTAAGTAGCGTTTTCATTTGGCTATGCCTTTTCAACTGATGTTGCACATGTCACTGGTCGTTTGTTGTGGCAATAAACTTTTGTCTTTAATTTTGGCTGTCTGATTATCATTAAGGTGCGGGTCGCGTGTCGGTATTTATAGTGGGTCGAATCGGGTGCGGAATTTTATTTTATTTCTGTCGGATAACGGTTCGGATACGGGTTTAATTATGACTGTATTGGCGGGTGCGGTTTGTCAAAATCAGTCCTGTGCGGAACTCTGCTGCCAGGTGCAGCAATAATCATATAAATAATTTTCATATAAATTATATGTTATTTATTATTTGACACGATTTGATTGCGTAATTTTTGCGGGTGAGGAGCGGAAATTTCTGCAGTAGGGCGGTATAATCAAAATCTCTCCTGTTGACCAAATTTATATCGTATACCATTTATACTGTATATAGCGCACAGTACTACTCCGGAACTCTGGTCAGTGGTGTCCTTTTTCTTTATTCCAGTCTAGTAGTTTAGGCTTTAGACGAAAGGAAGGTTACCAGAGTTTTTTTCCCCACGTTTTCTCGCACGTCGTGTGTGTGTGTTGCCCTCTGGGGCTGCGGTGTCCTCCTGCCATGCCATGAACACCATCTCTGTGATCCCTCTTCCCAGAATCCTTCAGAAGGCTCCGATGAAGAGCTAAACGATGACCTTTTGCAGAGTGACGAGGAAGACCAGAACATGAGGTAAGGCGACGCCGTCGGCCCGCATCCTGCCGTAAAGGTCACCCACACCCGAAAGGTTGATATTTTTCGTGCATCGTTCTGTAGCTTTTCGGCCAGGTCGCGTCACGTTCCTAACAGAAAGCCCAAACGCCTGCTTTCGACCCTCAATGGAATTATCACTCCGGTGAAGTGTTGTTCTCCTCATCTGTGCGGTTAAAGCAGGAAAATGCTCATTCCCATTGTGTGGCTGACATTTAATATGCTGGTGCTGGCAGGACGCTAGCTTAGCAGGCCTTGGGGATTAACTGTCATGCATTCCACATATTCCGAAATGGAATATTATTTTTAATTGGTTTTGAGCCCCATTGCTGTTATTCTTAGCAGCTGTAATAGAAAATTATAGCAATCTCATGTATTTTTAGCAAGCAACTAAACTAATCCTGTCTCTTAGTCCTCTGTTGAGTGTTTTAGGAAAGCATGCTAATGATTTCTTCTAGAGAGTTTTCAAGTCATGCAGCAGTGTAGTAAAAGTGTACATGAAGTGGGGGTTTTAGCAGAGTACTGGCCTATAACCAAACTGCATTATTGAATAAACATGGCATCTCGCCGCCGCACTGTTGGTCTCTTCTGTTCTCTTTAGACCAGTGTTTCCCAACCCAGTCCTCGGGGAACCCCACACAGTCCACGTTTTTGCTCCCACCTAGCTCCCAGCCAATCAGGAACACCGAATACATGATACAGGTGCTCTGGGAGCTGAGATGAAGCAAAAACGTGGACTGTACAGGGTTCCCTGAGGACTGGGTTTGGAAACACTGCTTTAGACAGTCTGTTGTGGATGAGTTTATCTGGTTGGAGAAGTCTGTTAGTTTTATTTCCGTATGTTTGTGTAGCGTAGTGTTTGTCTTAATAACTTGTACCATCAGATTTGACCATATTTGTCTTTGGGATGTTGGTACCCTATATATTTGGTGTCGGTCCTTTTGAACTTCAATGGATTCATTTTGGTGAAAAGTGAAATTGTTTAAAATCTTTTTAAAACCATCAGATTCTCAGACCCCAGATTCCAGTTAACCATGTAGATGCTTTAACCTTGTGTTGTGTGCTTTCAGAGAGGTTCCATAGAAAGACCAGCCTGTTTGCAAGTGGTTATTGAAGATGTGTGGAAAATATTTATGAATTAACTCCCTATATGTCAGTTCTATACTCGCCGGTCTACAAAGCCTTTTGGGCATAACATAAACGTTTCATTGTGTTACTTGAATTCCCCTCATAATAAACAAAAATTATAGGTTGTACACAATTTTGGTGTTTTTTTTTCTCATGCATAGGTCTAGATGTTCAAAAAAGAGATGTAAAAATTAATTTCTGATGCTTAGATGAAATCCCTTCACAGAAGGTCTGCAAGCAGCAAAATGCTTGTTAAATAATTTAAAGGAAAAAAGTTTAAGGGTTAGTCTTAATATTTGATCAAATTTTGCTCCGGTTGGTTTCATTCAGAGATGAGATTCCCCGGTTTCATTTTCAGGTGGATTTTTGGGGGACAGTTTGTCTGAAAAGCTAAAGGTGGTACATCCAACAATGATCTGGAAAATTGTTAAATTGTTACTTTTATGCCCTTTGGCAGAATTCAGGAACGGACAGGTGACCTCTGTGAGGGAGTCAATGAGCGGTTGCCAACCAGTGTATCATTGTGCTTTGGTGGATGGCACCCCCTACTTTCCAGAGAGAGGCTGGATGATCAGTTGTAGGCCTGTTCATACTTCTCCGAATGCATACATATGGAGGTGTCGAGTGAACATTTAGGCGGTGAATTGCATAAACATGGTTCTCTGTGGTTGGGTCGGGTCGAATCTGAAGTGAAGTTCGTGATAGATTTGTATGACCTGTAATGTTTGAATTATAAAGATTTGTTGTACTTAAGAGAGTGTGCTTTTGTAATTTATGATTCAAACAGTGTAACTGTTTCAAGATTCAGTTTGCAATTGTGACAGCTGTTTTTGTTCGACATCTAAAATTTATAAATTTGATGCCTGTTTACCTGCTGTTTCAAGAGTTCAAAGTTGTTTCAAACACAGAGATGGCATGTTTTACCTTATTCCAAACACAACATTATTCACAGATTTATCACTGTCTGTTATAAATGTTGTTTTACCCCCAAAAGACACTGGCTTATGCTCAAACTGAAATGCCCTTTAGAACTCAGTCACTTTTGTTGTACACTATTGTAGATAAGTATTTATTGTAAGTAAATAAGTATTTATTGTGCCTTACGGAGAATTCAAGTTCCTGGTCTTGGTTGTGTTGCTGGAAATCCCTCGATTGTCACTTTGTGATTTTTGTGCTTGAAAATAATGGACCTTGTGGATTTGATCTGGATAATGCTTGTAGTCTGCAAACTTCATGTACTTCCCTCTGAAGTAGTGTTTCTCAACTCAGTCTTTGGGGTCCCCATGACAGTCCTCTTTTTTTTGTCCTTGTACCAGGTAGTCAGTGTTTTTGGTTGACTGGTTCAGGAGCTCGCAAGGAGTGGACTGTCTGGGGATCCCTGAGAACTGGGTAGCAGAATACTGCGTTAAAGGAAAGAGTAACTTAATCAGTTTACTGGCTATACCGTGCCATCACTGTGAATGCAGCATGTTCAGGAAGATCAGTTTCGGCTTGATTTAGAAATTTGGTCTGTCTCCGTCCATCCATCCTCCATACCTTCCTGTCCTATTCAGGGTTGTGGGGTTCCATAGAAGCAATGGGCACCAGGCAGGGAATAACCCAGGATGAGGCCTGTTTTGTTTAGTATGGACTGTATCTTTCCCAATCACTGTGCAGTGGCCAAGCAATGGTCATAAGCCTAAATGCCACAGCCGGCTTGGACGTGACCATTGACCTCCAAGAGCAGTCGCTGGAGGAGACCGACTATGCGGGTGATGACGCCGATGGCATGGGCGTGGAAGAATACGAGGGCGGAGACGGGGCAGCGGAGGGATATACGCATGAGGACTACGCGGAAACCTATGGGGCGGACGGCTCCGGGCTGCCCGAGGACCAGCTGGAGTATGGTGAAGAGCAGGCTGAGGAGCAGGCCTACCAGGACGAGGTCCTCGACCTAGAGATCAGCGAACCCCTGGATGACGAGTTTCAAGTGAGTCCTCTGGGGGGGGAGAGGGTGACACACACGATCCACAATGCTGATCCATTATCAACCTCTACCAGTTTATTCATCTGCTGTCTGACAGAGTTGCTGTTGACAGCTTGTTTGCTGGACGGTGATGCCGCTCCACCAGATCATAGCCGTCATGGGATTGTGACCTTGGGTACGGGGGAGGGGGAGGGAGGAAGGGGGGGGGGACTTTGTGTCCTGCCGGTTTGCAGCTGATTGTCAGAGATGGTTAAAGCCGCAGTCCTTTATCTGGGCTTGAGACAAAATCTGATGGTTCCACACAGGTGAAAAGATAATTGACCTTTTTAAAGACGCGGGTACAGTTCTGTGGGGTGGGGGGGGGGGGGCACGGTGACATGATTGATGCTCCTCTCTATTTAGGCCCCTTATATCCCTGTAACAAGCTTAAAGCATGGATCTGGGCGGCTGTCCGTCTGCGGCGGCCCATTTATCATCACGTGAAAGAGACGTGTTACTCTGCTTATCTGAAGATAAGCTCTCTATTTCTTTGAAATTGGTTTTATGTGGAAAGCCTGAATGGCTGTGTGCAAGGTCGGCTCCACCCCTTTGGGGTCAGCGTCGCCATTCACGGGTATTTAGATGTGACGTTTTGGTGTAAGGGGTTAAGCTGCCTTGGCTGGCTTGGGGCGATGGTGTTTCCTGCTGTGGCCAGATCTTCGCGGGTTTGCATGGGTAATAATAGACAGTTTCCTGGGTAATTACCTATGTCTGGGTCTGTGTGCTGCCTCTGTGCCCAGCATGTGGGATCAGAGTCGCCTCTGTAAGCAGTATTTTGTGATTACGCAGATTGGGGCACGTAAATCGGGTTGCTCGTGGGCCCTGTATCTCTGATGTACACTCAGGGTCGCCGATCGGAAAAGCGCGCAGGGTTTCTGTCTGTTCCCCAGTGATGTGCCTTCAGGAATCTTGCCTGCCGTGCATGAGGCTCTGCGTAGGCTTGGGTGATTTTTATTATGACCCTTAAAGGAATGAAAACAAGGGTTATGATGGTTGAGCGAACTCTTTTTGTTATAGCTGAAACCTGAAGCATTTTTTAAAAATGGAACTGTGTGTAAAAAATGTCCGTTACGAAAATAAAGAAGAAAGTGGTGTATCTCTCGTTCGAAGAAGAAACATTAGGAGGAAAAAAGGAGCAGGATCCTTAAAATAAATCTCTAGATAATAATCAATAAAATATGTTGCTATCGAGCTAAATATAGGCTACATTATTAATGTAATAAAACATCAATGAAACAGTTCTTATCAAGCTGAATATATGATTATAATCCATAAAACATATTACTATTGAACTAAATATACATTAATCCAATAAAACATGTCATTATACTATGAAGCTGAATGTAAATGATTTTTAAATAATAATAAAATATGCCTTTTAAAAAACATTTGTAAACGTATTTTAAATGCTCCGTGAAATGTTTTTTTTCTTCTGATCCTACTGATTTGGAATGATATAAATATGTTGGCATCAAATGCAAAATATGCAGAATGAACCAAAGTATGGCAAAATCCCATATTGCTAGATGGTAGTAATTTCAACTGATGGAAATATGCACTAATTTAAGTTATGGGATATTTAGGTAATAGTGTTGATCCAGTAGCAGGAAATAGCCGACCGGAGTGAGTTCTGAAATCAGAGGCCACCTTCTGCCTCTGCTTGCAGGTCGAGGACTACGCTGACGACGGCAACCACGACATGGGGCTACCTGTGGGTGTGCCGGATGTCCCCGATGGTGCCGAAGCCCAGGTGGCCTCTCAGGTCCTGGAGGCTGAAGAGGTGGGGGTCCCGGCCCGTCTGTGGGTTCACGTCAGGCTGTGTGGCGTGCAGTTGGATTCCAGGGTCATTGTGGAGCTTATCTCCCGGCGGGTTTACTGTAACTAAGCTATGCATGCAGGGTTGACATTGATGAGTTTCAGGTTAAAACAACTCGGCCTCAACCAAACCAACTTAACTGTCCCATTAACCGCTGGATGCCCCCTTTGAACTTAGCTAGCTGTTTAGCTCAAATCCAGCTACTTAATCATACTGCCCCCTTCTGTTGGGTGTGTCACATGACATGAGTCTTTTATTGGAGCTCATCCTGCTTTATAGGGCCATGTTTGACTTACGAGGGTCGAGCTCGACACCTTTTGGTCACTGCTCACTTCTGTGAGTCCTCACAGCCATCATCTCTGCCCCCCCCCCCCAAAAACAGTTGGAGAATGAGAGAGAGCGCGAGGAGGACCTGAGGGAGGAGTCAGATGAGGAGGACGATGAAGATGAGCAGTCAGGCCGACTGCGCTTCAAGACGGAGAGGAAGGACGCCACTGTCATCCGGCTGTCCGATACCTCCAGTAAAAGACGGGACATCCCCGAAACTCTGGGTAACAGGACCCGACGTGTGTCTGCCCTGTGAGGGCCCGGCGGGGTGGCTCTCTGCCCTGTGAGGGCCCGGC